TGGGGACTGCTGCCCGAGCCGCGTGCGCGGGATGCGCGGCGCAGGTTGTGTGGTTGTGTCCCGCCTGCCTCAAATATCCCCCATACGACTACGCTTTTCTATTCTTGACCTTCTGTCTCTGTGTTTCATTTGGATCTTCACTCTTGAACACAGCCTGCCTCTTGGCCGGTGCCGTTTGCCGTTCTGTTCGTGGCTGTGGTTGAAGAGATGGGAAGTGCGGGTCTTGGCGTTCATTAAACCTTGGCGTCACGGGGTTTCGTTGATGTGGGGGGGATGATTTTCAGCCTGCCTGCCGGGCCGCCGGTGAGTTTTTTTAGTGTGAAGATTCACAGTGTGTGGTCGGGGCGGGACCGGAGGGAGGGTCCACCTTTTTGGGGCCGGATGTGCCGAGGGATGGTATTTAAAGGGGGCCTTTCGCCGTTTCTTGGCTTTGAGATTGGAGTATGCGTCCCGGGAACGAACGCTGCACACCACACACGGAAACAGAAGAACAGAAGACGTCTGAACGACGACGCGACTGCACGCTTTCGGATCCGGGGAGTTCGAGATGGAGGGATGAAGGGGGGAATTTACCGTGTTGTCGATCCGATCGGAAAGAGACCATCCCTTTTTGAGAATCGGAAGCTTTGGGTGAGGGAAATCGGGGAAGGAGACGGGACTGAAGCGTACGGCGGCCGGTCGGTCATGACGGAGGCTTGTGGGGGCTGGTTTGCCGGCGGGACGGGGGGTATTGATTCGATTGGGCAGGGGACGTCGGGGTCTGTTCCGAGGAGTGGGCCGAGGCCTGTGAGAGTTTTTGGGGTTGGGCTGTGAGCTGTTTGTTTGATTGGGTGAAGCCAGAGGTGAGATGGGCATGGTGATGGTGACGGTGACCTCGGGGGAGAGATTGGGGCTGCGGGATGTGGGTTGGGGGTTTTGTAGGATTGGGCTTTTGGGTGTTTTTGGTGCGTGTTGATGGATTTGATTTGATGTCGTGAGGACGTCTTTAGTTGCTTGTTTTGGGTTTTGGGGTCGCCTTTTTCTTATGTTGATTGATACGATGATACCTTGGCGACGGGGGCGATTTGACCCGGTAGAAGGGATTGGTTGCGTTTGACCATTTGATGGCCGATGGCTGGTGGTGAGCCTTATCGTTATAAGCGTCTGCGATCATACCAACTGCATGAACTTATCCAACTTTGCGTTCATACTTGCAGAGCAGCTGGCTCTTAAAGTTGATGGGGGCCAACGAAATACTAGTGAAGGGGGCGAGGGCGTCGCCACCGTTGACGACGGCGTGCTCATCATCCACAGTGCAACGTGCATGAGGTCGTGTCTAGCCATGCGCTCGCAGGAGCTGTCTGTCGTGCTGTTGAGGGTGGGCGGGATGATGGAGAGAGTTTCGAGATGCGTCGTTCCAGATTGATCGACTGTCCATTCGCTCAATATGATCTGCATGCGAGACGGCTGGTCGTTCGGTGAGTATGCGGTGCGGCCTGTGCAACCCGCCTTAAGTCCGACCATTCTGGTGAATGATTTCTAGCCAAACTCGTATCCGGGTACCGCAACAGCTGAAGACCATGAGCCTCGGAGTTGCGAAGCGGTGAAAACTTTCAGAATTTCTGCCAGCCGGATTGTTTCCGTTCGGACGAGACAGACTACGAAAACTCTCCCCCAACGTGTACCGAAACTTACTTGCACCACCACCATCAGCAGGCGCACATCGGGAGTTTAGCGGAAGGTTTAACGTTGCTCAAAACTGGGACGGGTCCCGACGAAACTCTATTCCTTGTCTAATTTGAGCATCTATCGAACTTCACAAAACCCGCTCTATCGCCTCCAAAAATGAAAAGAAATGTTTTTGAGATTCGTCTGCGAGGCCCTGGGAGTTTTCATCCATACAGGGGCGCTATCGTGCGCTCGCCAAGCTGGCTCAAACCGCCATAGACGGGGAACCATCCCATATCCCATGTGTTCAGACTAAGCTTAGTTGCAGCAGCAGACCTGCGAAAGAACACGTTAGTAATCACATTCAAGGCCTAGCAGTCGCTGCGAAAACATACCTTGTTACCGCGGCCAGACTTGGAGTTGCTCTGGCACTTGAGCGCGGCGCAGGCGGAACCATCCTTGTCAGGCTTGTTGCAGGTTCCGGCGGGCGCGCCCTGGCGCGCGACGAGAAGAGAGGCCTCGTCGACGGCGGAGAGCTCGTTCTTGGGGCCCGGGGCGGGGATGGCGACGGCCAGGGTGGCGAAGAGGGTGACGAAGACGGTTGAGGCGCGCATTTTGATTATTGAGGGAGTGTTTGGTTTTTTTTCTACCGGAGAAAAATAAAGAGAGTGGTATTAGTTGTGATTATTGAGTGAGTGAAAACTGTCTGTTGCTGCTGCTGATTTGGAAACGAGAGGTAGATGTACAGGAGGCATCGCCGTGGTTTATATACAGAGGATTGATCGACTCGTGTCGTTTGGTCTCATGAGACGGATTATGGGGCTTCAGACGGGGTGGAACTCTCCCACAGCGACGGAGAGGACCGATCCAGACTGCTGGGTAGCCTTCCCGTCATTTCGTCTCGCCTTGCCCCCCCGTGAGCGGCAGGTGCCCATGTCACAGCATGATGCGAGGCCTGCCGAGTTACGCGAGTCGCGAACTTTAGTTGCGTATTATGTGGGCTCCCTTCTTTTCTCTACGTCTTTACAGAAAAGTGTCCGGCTGAGGTGGTAAGAGCGGCCCAATCAGGTAACACGTCGCCTGTCGTTGGTATGTTCTGGACGGCAGCGCTCGAACCAAGCATGAAGACGCCGTACCAAGTTTCAAAAGATGGGTGGGTGAGGGTTGGGATTGGGCAACCCCACGAGTCAAGACTTGGCGCTGCGGGCCTGGGGGCGACCCTGATGTTTATTTTTGGGGGCTGAGTTGATTGATCGCCTACATTACACGATCTAGAGCAACTTCGTCCGATGATGGGATACACACTGCACACGTTGTCTGAACCTGCGCGCAGGTGCCTCTCATTCTTTGAATTTTAGAGTTTTTCTCACAGCGATTGGATCGTGCGCGCTGCGGTGCCAGTTTGCGTCAGCTTGTTCCAGACGTTTTCCCTCTTCTCTCTTCTGGAGAAGATGAAACTACACGCGACAAGCGCACATTCCACGTTTTGTCGGAGGATTTCTCTCTTGGTGAGGGCGCACTGGGTGGCGCACGCGCGCGTTTCGCAGTACATCCCAAGACCACGTTTGCTCCTACGTAACAGTAGAGGAATTTTACATTTAGAGTTTAGGGCGTTGTTTGCCGCCTAACCGACTAGTGAATGCTACGACCGCGGAATCTTCGTTAAAGTCGGCTTAGAACACATACACGCAGCTGTGTTGTCGTAGTCTTGCCGGGTTCCCGTCGGCGGTATTGAACTGGCCGGTTGGGTGATGGATACGGATGGACCAGTTAGATGTGCTGCTGCAGCTTGGCGACTGCCTGATGCGGAAGGAGTTGAACAGGGGCTGACTGCATGGCTGCGAACTCTCTTTGAGTATGGCGAGATGCGATGCATGCGAATGGCTCGTTGAAGAATATTTTGATGGCTGTAATGGCGATGTTTACTGATCGTGATAGTTGTTGTATTCTCATAGCTGTGATACAGACTTCCCCCTATCAGCACGTCACAGACCAAGTCGTATCGTACGGCGCGCATATTAGTGGGTCGAAGGGGACCCAAACTCTATTCGAGGATTCGCAGCAATGATGCCCATTCTGACAGGCGCAGAAGAGAAACGTCTCGTAGGATATTTCCGTACGGGGGACGGTCCATTCCGTGTGCTGGGCCCCTGAACGCGGAAAAGGGGGTCCCACGCGTCGCTCTTCTCCGGGTCCGCGCGGGGATACTCGAAGGCGGGCCGCGGATATGATGGAGTGGACAGCAGTGTCTCAACAACAGCCAGGGGCTTGGCGATTTGGCTGAAGGTGTGATGAGGTTCACTCTCGCTGTTTTGAGTTCTGAGAATGATTCAACTTGTTGATCTGGAGGGTGTAGTTTGGGGTTGTTTGTCTGGACGAGCAACTGAAGACCATGAATCTGCATCTGGCTGATTTGCAACATAACATTATCGCAGTTGACTCTTGGGATCGACAGGAGTCTCTGCCCAAGTTGATCTGTACGCTGTTGTCAGCAACTCGGATTTAATCCGGTGACAAGCAAAGAGCTGATGCCTGCAAGACTGGGGCTTTGCAACACGCCCCTAACCAAGTTCAAGTGTGTTGATCCCTGCCAATGGTCAGTAGCCCAAACACGTTGAATAGCTAGAAGATTGCGCCTCTCCTTAAACAAGTTTGACGGAATACCAGCAATTAGGAACTCGCAGGTAATCTCTTCGATACATCCGAACTGCGTTCCACTGAGGATTTGCTCTTTCTCGTATCCGGACTTCATCTCGGTATACCACGCTGCAAGCCGCCCTCAATCTCGAGAAACTCCAGACACCCAATATCATCCCACTGCAACAGTCGTTACAATGGGTCTAGAAGTTCCAAAAAGTGGCCGCGGTATTTCGTAAAGTCGGACTTAGAGTTTGAGCCCCCCTTGGCCAGGGATCTACCCTTTGAAGAGCGGTTGCGACCTACCCGCTCGACAGGCCCTGGAGAAGTCCGTAATGAGACATGACTAGAACTCAAAGACGATCAAATCCAGACCGACGGAGAACGCATGACCCACCCCGTTCGTCATGGAGTTGGGAATAGAGGCAGTGGTTATGCTATCTTGTCCGGTTCGGCGTGAATGCAAATCCGAGATGAGCGGGCTACGGGGCAAATTCGACACAAATTTTGTTTTTCTCTGCAGATGATGAGAAATCACAATGAACTTTGATAATCTGAGTTGAAATTTTGAACGAAAATGACATTTTAGTACGGAAATACACGACGTAATCTAAGGATACAGCACAGCCGAAGAGGCAAAGTTTGAGACAAATTAAAAAAGCAATTCCACCAATGAGGCCAAGTCAGCAGCCCGGATCGATGACTTGTGAGCGGTTTTACTCCTCATCGTCAAAGTCAACATCCTCCTCAAAGTCGACATCAAAGTCCTCCTCGTCCCCATCCTCCTGGCGGCGGCCGTGACCCTTCTTGTTGTTCGTGGCATCATCCGCAGCGGCGTCGCCACCCTTGGGGCTGCGCTTGTTGCCAGACTTGTTCTTGTCGTTATCGTCGACCTTTGTGCTGCTCTTGTCGTCCACGACGACGGTGGTCTTGCTGCTGTCGTCGGAGCCGCTGGTAGAGGAGGAGGAGGAGCTGTTGTCCTTGCCGTTGTTCTTGTTGTTGTCGTCGACCTTGGTGGTGCTCTTGTCGTCGGAGCCAGAAGTGGAGGTGGTGGTCTTGCCGCTGGTCTTGGTGCTAGACTTGCCGCCCTTGCGACCCGAGGCGCCCTTGTTGTTGTTCTTGTCGTCCTGGGTGGTCGACTTGGAAGCGCTGTTGTCGTCGGCTCCTACGGTTCTGGGAGCCTTGCCGTTGGCCTTGTTGTTGGCGGCGTCATCAGCGGCGGCATCGCCTCCCTTGGGGGCTCTCTTGGGGTTCTTTCCGTTGGCTTTGTTGTTGGCAGCATCATCGGCTGCGGCGTCGCCACCCTTGGGACTCCTCTTCGGGTTCTTGCCATTGGCCTTGTTGTTGCCGGCGTCATCAGCTGCGGCATCACCGCCTTTCGGGCTTCTCTTGGGGTTCTTTCCGTTGGCCTTGTTGTTGTTGGCATCGTCCACAGCTGCGTCGCCTCCCTTCGGGCTCCTCGCTACAACGGGAACAACGTCGGGGTTGGTGCCGGTGGTGGTTCCGGGGGTGGGCTCCACGCAGACGCCGTTCTTGCGCTTGCACGTCTTGGGGGCACGTTGCTCCAGAGCCATACCGGTGCCGGAGATGTCGGTGGATCGCTGCAGACAGAGTGTTAGATTGTGAAGTGTGAAGAGACGCATCATGGACTTGCCTCGATGAGACCAGCATCGGAAGATCCAGCGATTGGCATGGCCACGGAAGTTGCGGCGAAGAAAGCCATGCCAAGAGTGGCGACCTGGGCGATAGTAGGAGCGTGCATCTTGGCGACTTGGAGGTGGTGGATATGAAATGAAAGTTGAATGAATGGGATGATATCGAAGTGAAGGAAAGTGGTATTAGATTGTGATCTGAAGAGTGAGTGTGATGATGAGAGAGAAGACACTGAGGAGACCGGGAGATTCTTGGCACTTATATACAGAGTCGATCTTGAGTTGCGTTCTTCAGGGAACATTGATTCCCATTGCCGAAACTATTTTCAATCAGATCTAGACTCTCTCTTCAGCCATAGCAAGCGAATGTGGGAATTGGAGACCCTGGTCTAGGCATCGTGAGGCCAAGCTTATGGCGCTTGTCTAGAATAAGCTGGAAGCTAGGCGAGGAGTTCGCGCGCGGTCCAGAACCCCTGCCTGCATAGCCATCAGCTGTCCAGACCCGACACTCTGGCTCCAGACAGATGATGCCAAGTCTAAACATTCACGGTATGAGGCGTGTCCTTCCGGTGGGATCTAGCGTGCTCGTCGCTACGCTATTCACAACCCACGTGCGAAAGGGTGTCAACAACAGACGAGCGAAGACATGGAGGGGCAGAACGCTTCTCTTTTGGGGGTTTGACTCACGTCTCTCTTCCGTTTATTCTTTCCTGGGGTCGCACTTCGAGTAGGATATCTTTTGCTCTTTGGTCTTCCCGAGGCCGTAATCTCCCTCTCTTTGCTCCTGTCCTTTGCCTTTTGTGTCGGTATAACCTATCTCCAACAATTTCGACATATTTAGAGGGACTCGAGGTAGACAGCTGACTGGCGAGACACCTGCCACTCACGTTGGGTTCACTCACCCGGCTGCCTCATCGTCCAAGCACCGTGAGGATCATTAAACGGCCACTTACACCAGGCGCCTCGCGAAATTGTAGGCTAAACCTGCTGTTCCAGAACCCCTCGGCTACAGAGGCCTCAGACGACGCTGGGCCTCAGCTGAAAGCCACTCGAGCCGAGGGGAAATGGGAGAAAACAACCGATTGGGAAGTTTAGCTCAGGGGAGCCCGGAGTGTGGCGCGCGGGGGCGGCAAATTTTAGGTGTTAGCTCCCGTTAAGCGGCTCGCGGGGTGGCTAGTGCCAAGACGGCGCGGCACCGTTGCCAAGTTTGTTCTCACGCTGTTTCACTACTGACAATCGACTGCACGCTGTGCTTTGGTCGTGTCCAAGTTGAGACGGAAACCGAATGCCAAGAGTTATAGGCAGTTTACTGTAACGACCGGATGAATTCTTCAGCTTCTTCGGGCCTCGTTGTTCATGATGCATGACACCTACGGGGCAGTCGTGTGGGCGATGGTAGAAAATGTGAAGGGAGTCAAGATACTTTGGGTCGCTGTCTTGGAGACTGCATTCTGAATTACAGAACAAGCATTTCCGTCCTCGCAGTACCTTCGCTGTTGAGGGCCATAAGGTGACCTCCAGACGGCGTTTACTTTAATAGGTTATCCCAAGTAAGGTTGCGCCACGAAGAGCTATTTTGGTGGCTGAGTTCTGGACCACAGCATCAGAGGGCTTGCTCAGCAAGCCACACGAACGCCATGCCGGCAAATCATCTGAGGTTCCAACTCTACCTTCGGCTGGACTTGCTGAGAGCTCGGCAACTTGGTGTCATATTCAGACGTTGTCATAATTAGTAACGGATTATTCAGAACTGACTGCTGAGGAGGTAACATCACTAGCAGCGACATATGGCGTTTCTGAGGGAACAGAGTGCACGCGAGCTGAAGCTGAAATGTGTCTACCTGGGGCGTCTGAAATGCCAGACACCTGAAATATAGCATGGCAGGAAAGTTTAAACGATTGAGGAAAGGGATGGCGGGAGCGTCGCAGGTTGATGACCGAGAAATACTTTGGTCGAACCATGAGAGCCACGTGCACGATTTGGGTGCCCTGTCGCCCCATCAAGGACAACTGATTTTCTGAATATGGAAACAAAGGGCATGAGCTTTCTCTGACTCTCGCAACGGCTTCACGCCACGAGTGAGCCGCAGATGCTCTATCCTCAACACGAGAGCTTCAAAGCAAGGCTACTCATTCCAAATGATGCCAAATGCTTCATGGAACCTTCGACATGGTTGCATATACGAAAATGTCGGATACCCGGGTCAAATGGTTGCTTTCTCAGTTATTTTTGGACACCTTGGAAGTGAAGAGTGCTTTGACAACGCTTCAAATGCCCCAATTTGCCTCTGAGTCTTACCGTGGCAATCACGTCGTGGCGCTGGCAAATGGAAACCAGACGCCGCCAATAATTGCGCCCTTAACGCTCGGTGCAGCGTTTAGGAGAGGTTTCTGACGCCTGACAATAGTAGGGTGATGAGGGCTTTTGAAATGAATGCCTCCTGTGTGGCAAGTTTACCCGAAGTATGTCTCTCGAGAAGACATCTTAGGAAGGGTATTGCTATCCGGGCGCTTCGTAGGCATAAACAATGATAGGGGCAATAAAGACGACGATGGCGATAATAATAGGAAAAGGGACCACAGGGACGACACTGGGAATAGACATAAAAGGTTATTAATATTGAACAAAATATTGGACCTAAGATAGCAGTTTTCCGCCCAGATAGCTAGCAATGCCTGCCTGGATATGAAGACTTCTTGGGAATAATTATGTCATTGTCTCTCAGGACCGAGGCTTTGCTATTATCCAAGTAATCAAAGACAGAAAGGGCGATAGCAGGCAGTTAGAGAATAGCGACGATGAGAATGAAAACACAGACAGACATACATCTGCTTCAATAGAAACAAGTGCGTGAGCCAAGAGATATTCGCGAGGAACGAAGAAAAGAGAGGTAGAGTAGGGAATTAACTACGGGTAGGTATGTATTCTAATATAGCATACGGCGCAAAGAATGCCGTCGCCTACACTACCCTCTTGCCCTTTTCGGAATCTTAGTAGCCTTATGTGATAGAGGATTGCAGGGAGATTTCTCGCTCATTTAATGCGCCTCTGAGATCATCAACTCACAGCTGCCGCTGTGCTGTCTGTAAATAGACCCATCCTCGCTTGGGCTTTTCTGCCCAAGCATGATCAAAACATACTTTGAACTTTGAGATACCTAAACTTGTCATCAGACTAGAGGGGGAAAGTTTGAAGCGATTTCTGAAAACAGCTGGTCAAGACATGAATGCTGATTCAATGCAAGCTTGCTCACGTCCGAAGCTGCCGAAGAAGTAAGGTGACACCAATTAGTTCGAATTTCTTAAGGCTGGTGAAAGAACTTATTAGTGCAATCGTGCCGGACTCTTTGGAACTTCAGGATGATCTGAGGACTACTGTTGCTCTCAGCATTCACAATGGCAGCTAGCAGGTACATATTATTTTGGCAGATGTGAGGATAACCAACACGGGTGATGTACATGAGTCGAATGAGTTTGCACATCACTCCCCGTTGGAACAGGGATCACAGAGGCCAGAACTCAGGCCAGAGAGGTCTGGACCCTGGAGGCTTGGCTCAAAGCTTGGTTAAAGCTTGAACAAAACGTTGCAAGGTAGCTGATTCCTGGCAGATGAGCGAATGACAACAGCCGAACATTTTCCCGTCCCGAGCCAGCCAGCATTGATTGAGATAACTACTCGATGAAATTTACTGATGCTGCTCTCATTAAGATTTCGATAGCCTCACTTTTCGTTTTGGCTTCTCAAATCTTCGGCGAGGATTTCAGTTTTTCTGTTGGCAATATCGTACTATACGAGTCAAGCTGTCACCCTAGGTTGAAAAAGGGCTCGCATATGACATTTACTCAATCAAGGTTCACATGTGAGGGATAAATTCTGCTCGCAGTATGATGAGGGCTCCGCAATCTTCTAGCTTGCTCGATTGACCTTGAGACCTCATAAATGTCACAAAGCAAGTTACCATCACGGCGTAAAACGACTCAAACGACTAGACAACAATCAGCCATACATGACGTAGAGAAAGGATTGAATAAGTGTCCGAAAAATGACAGGAGTCGTGATACTCCAAAAAAACAGTTATCACTATTTTGAACACAGCATTTGGACTGCGCTTGTTGCGTTCGCCTCACTAGAGTGGACGGGCCACCAATGGGAGGACGCTCGTCAAAGGTCCCATTAGCTTCAAAGGTGGACACATGGGCGAAGAGCCATGGAAACTCTCTTAAAGTCACAAAATGACACTATTCTCAACTCCGGATCCTCGGCAGCAGGTCGGAAGTCTCGGTCTGCTTCTGAGTCCATGTCCTGAGCTAGGCGAAATACGCCTTCTGGAAGCTTTGCATCATGGGGAATGAAGTCGCTTTCGGGTTGGATCATGAACGCAGTGGCTGTCTCTAAGTTGGCGGCTTTTGTATAAAGAGTCGCTAACTTCGTCTTCAGATCTCATACTTATCATTCAGAACACACCGGTCTTCAGTCTAGTCATTCGTTCATCATACACAGGCTCACAACTGCCTCTCATTCGTTCCCTTGACAATCTGTCTATCCTTCATTCCACAATGTACAACCAAATCATCCACTCTGCGGCTCTCGTCGCTGCTGTTCTGCCCGCAGTTCTCGGAGCCGTCGCCGTTCCTCTTGAGCGCAAGGCCGTCGAATGGGTTACCACCACTGAGGCCATCGACCTCTCTCAGCTGGGCACTATCTCGCTCGACTCCCAAAACCCGAACCCTGCCGATGTCGTGGTGAGAGACCTCGAAAAGCGCAGCTCTTACTCTGCTCTCGTCTGCAGAAGCCGCCGACCCCTTCCCCGCAGCGGCGCAAAGTGGCTGTACGAAGAGGCCACCTGCGACCGCACCGGAACGGACGTCAACACCTTCAAGGTCACTTGCATTGCCGAGAACTCGCACGCTGACGCCATTTACCGCCAACCGGGAGCCTGCGGCAGGAACCAGTGGTGTGTCGAGTTCCACGGCTACAACGAGCGCGGTGCCGGTGCTTGGGACGTCACCTGCGTCGACAAGTCTCAAATCCACACCTGGGTCGCCAACACAAACTCCAACCCTGGCAAGCTCACCACCTGCAGTGCTGGATGGAACAACAACGGCAACCGCAACCTCAAGGGTACCTTCGAGGTCGACGTCATGGACGCCGGTGGCATCAACCGCATCGCTCCTTCGAACATCTTCTACCAGCTTAATGGCAAGCGCATCGGCGTTTCTCGCTCAGGCGACTCCGAGGTTGGATCCGGCAGTGTCATCATCCCTCCCGGTGGCTCCATCCAGGCTTGCGTCACCGCTTTCCAAGGACAGATCATAAACATGCTGGGAGCTGTTACTTCTCTCGTTTCGATCTAATTGGCTTGACGAAAGCCTTGTATTGGCCTGGTAGGAGAAACCTGGACTACTCGATTCATTCAGAAGATGACGGCAGTCTATGTAAGGCGAAAGTAAGGTGTAGAAGTTGGATGTGGGGGTGAGGGGTTCTTGTTCAAGTCTTAGCAATGATTAGTCGCGCAATTTATCTTCCTTTGTCTCGTGTTGCTCGCATCGGTGATGTCAAATTCCATGTTCCTTGCAGAAATCTCTCAGACAGTCTGACTGCCCTTATCATGTCTATGCGCAAAACGACTAGTATACATTAGACTAAACATGGATCTCAGGGCATTGATGATTAATCTTAGACCGGAAGCGCAGCCAATTTGCGCGATGTTGTTTTTCAGAAGCAAAAGGGGATGTGGTGGTTTTGCTAGCTTTCGTAAATTGGAAACGATTTACGGTGGTGATTCTATGCGGGCTCGAGGGGCATCAAGGAGACCACATGACCCTAACAGGTGGTGCACGCTAACAAAAAAGTCCGTTTCCGAGGGCAACTCATATGAATGCCTCTACTGACGCTTGGTGACCTTTTCAGACGTCCTAATGCGGAGCTTCTTCCCAAAGAAGAAGAGCAACGGGATACCGGTGGACACGGCAAGGAGCACAATGGATAAGTAGACCGTGAACATCATGGGCCCTGTTTAGCAGAAGACATGATTAGCTGACACGTAATTGATGGAAGTGGGGATGGGAAGACCTACCGAGCTGTTGAAGCCAAGTCGTGACTTGGGTATTGAGAGGGAAAGAAATGAAGACACGCAGCGTCGAGACGTTGACAAGGACTGGACCGGCCCACTGAGGATAACTCTCGATGACGTAGTTCTGCACAATAGGAGCAGAGATCAAGGTCGAGGTCATGAGCAGGAAGGTACCAAGCAGCAAAACGGCATAGTGGAGGTGGTTGTGGTCGGCATAACCGAAGACAAGGGCCCCAGTAATGGCCATGACGATGGGAAGGATGAGATTGGGAAGTTGATGCTCAGCCTCACGGCCACCCTTTTTCTTCGAGATCCAGAGTGAGACGGCGTCCGCGACAGGACCACCGACGATAAAGACGACCACGGTTGAAAGGATCTGAGGAATTTGGGAGAGACCGGTAAGTTCGAAAGGGATGCTTGAGAACAACTTGGTAAGCATTTCGACATTCGAGAAAGAATAGATTGTCACTCACCCAGCAGCGAGAAGGGCAAAAGACGTTGCCTGCCCAGTCGCACCCATTACCATTCCAAAAGCAACCTGCAGCAGGGTGCACCACATGACAGCAGGGAACATCGTGGTCTTGATGGTGTCGATGATTTGCTTTCCGGCATCCTTCCAGTGCGTTCCAGTTTGGAAAAAACCGATATCATCCCATCTGGTGCGTTCGCCGTAGGTAGCATAGTCCAACTGAGTGCGGCTTTCTCCAGGCGCCACGGGCCAGAGCTGATGTCCGGCCAGTTCCGCCTTGGATCTCTGCCTGAGTGTCTCGGGAACAAAAAGAATGAGCATAATCCAGGTGAGTACACCGACAGCGGAAGTGATCCAGTAGATCCAGCGCCAGTCCCAGTTGACAGCAATGTAGGGGCCGAGGATACCGAAGAGGACGATCATGGGTCCCTGGATGAGAAGCACGTTAGTACTGCATCACATAACGACACCATCATGTCTACAGAGGCATAGCGTTCCGTTGACGTACCTGACTGGCAATGATCGACGCAACAGCCTTGTTTCTCTTATGCAAGAACATCATGTCCTGGACAATGAGCGGAAGCAAGGCTTCAACGGCACCAGAGCCGAGACCATGGAAGACTCTTGCGGCAATATGACTGGTGAGAGACTTGCTGTATCCAGCCCAGAAGCCTCCAGCCCATGAGAAAGCTGAGGTCAGAACGAGAACCGGACGTCTTCCGATGGCCGCAGTGAGAGGAACCAACAGGTACGTGGCGATGCCGTTGCTAAGCATGGGAATGGTGGCCAGAAGCGATACCGAAGCTAGAGATACGGGAGTCACACCTGGTGGCACAACGCCAAGAGGGTCCGGGTTGCCTTTGAGGTCGGCGTGCTTGAGCGTCGAAGCAGGGTCCACGCCAGAGTATTCCAGGATGAAGACGGGCAGCAGTCCAGCAACGGCGATTTCAGCGGCGAGCGAGACGGAGCCGACTTTGTATTGTTAGGCAACGAAAGCTCGGTATTTTCTTTTTGAGAGGCTTACAGAAGCAGAGTGAAGCAACAGCAAGCCACTTGCGCCATTCGGGGAGATTGAGGGGATCCTTGGGGTCAGGAGTTGGAGTCTGCCACTGAAGTAAGTCTCCGTTGTTCAAGTCGCTGAACTTTTTCCTTGTTACTCACGGGGACAAATCGAATATTGCCGTCTTTATCGTAGATCTCGGTACTTCCCAGCACCTCTTCCTCATGGACGGCAGCAGCAGCCTCCTGCTTCTCGGCGGTAATCGTATCGATGGAGTCGATCCTCGTCAGCCCCCGCTCGTCGTCTTGCAAAGTTCGCGATGGGTACGCAGGAGACCTCGGGGCCGGCGCCTGTGAATGGCGGAAGTCGACAACACTGTACGGGATGAACATCTGCGAGCTTCGCTTGGCGTACTTGTCGATTCTTGATTCGCGCTTGCCGGCATTGGCGTTGTTGAAGTTGGCCGGGCCAAGACGCACATCATCGCCGTCGCCCTCCATAATCGATAAAGATTAAGAGAAAGGTGAAAGTAATAGAGACTGAAGGAAAGCACCGCAAAACTGTCGTCGTAAAGATCGGAGGGAGAGCGGATCGAGCAAACGGCTCCCTGGTTCTTGGGGTTCTCCCAAGCGTCTAAAATGGCAAAGAAACAAAGAAATAGAAAGAAACAACAACAGAAGAATGCTCAAAAATGTCCGGACCGGCCGGGATGGAACTAGATTACTTTGCGGTCAGTCTGCAGTCTTGAAAAGCGTGATATTGGACAATCTCTCATGTCTATATAGACACGAATGAATGGGAATGCGTCAAGCTGGAAAGGGGGAATCAGATGATCTGGACATGGACATCGAGACCCAGGGCGGATCATCATGCAAGTTGAAATACATACTTTTTTTGTTATTTTATTTTTGATCTCGTAGTTTGCTCTCCCATGTTCATCTAGGCCGAGAGAATAGGATGCCTCATTATAATCTAGCAGATCAACAACAGACATGCAATTACTAATGGTCTGAAGATCGCCAAGACATGAAATTTACCCTAGCAAAACATCAGTCTCACCAGGATACGCTGTATCATGTGAGATGGGATGACAGCAAAGGCTGCCAACAGGTCAAAAAATACACACGCATCCGGGGAGCTTCATTGCACAGGAATTATGCCCAAGAAACCCACACATCAGAAGCATCCGACAAATGGGCGCTGGATTGTTTGCAGTTGCGGAATTTCCAGCGACATAGAACGTCATGAGGAGGCTCCAAGAGGGGCCGGATGAGCTTCCCCATGCTTCAAGGATGATGGACCACAAGCTATCCTGTTCGAGTACTTGCGTGGCCAGTGGGCAGGTGGGATGCGCGGTGAAACAGCAGACTTCAGCGCGATCCGTCCCGTATTCCTAAAATTGTATGTGCCGTGCAATGGCATAAGGGGGATGGCAGCAGTTGCGGGCTCGATGCTTGCTTTGACAGGCCCAGTTGAGGCTGAAAAGTGTGTTGGGCGAGGGACCACATTTATGCATCACGACGTGCAACAGACGTGGGCTGGTGTACCTGCCACCTCGACCGTAGGATCTTCGGCTCGATCAATCGACGAACACGCAAGCAGCTCCCACCGGGATGAGAAGGGACGAAAGTGCGCAAGCGTATCAAAAATCGTCGTCTTTCTCGTCATGCAAGGCGAGAAATCGTCGATACCCGGGGCCATGGGCCGAGAATATTTCTAGAACAGATTCAGAGTAGTACAGGACGCATGTAGATCTCTTGAAATGGTTAGAAGAGCATGGTCAACAACAGAAATCGTCCGATTGGCCGCCCCCGCAAAGTTGCACCGGAATTCCCGGAAACCACTCGAGTCTTAAGAGTATGAGAGACTGGGACAGGCCTGCCTGACAAACCCAAGGGCCTACGGGAGCCAGGGATTTAGAGATTGATGTCTGGTACCCACGAAACTGAGAGTCGCCCATGTAACGATGTTTTTGTTTCTGCGGCGGACGCTGACCCCACTTCCCGTCTCAGAGACGACGATGTTTCACTGTTCTGCTTCAGACGACCCCCCACTTCCCGTTCAACAACCAAAAACGACTGCCACGGTGGACAACGCTGGTGGACAACATTGGTTGGCTGGACGAGAGGAATCGTGATTTCTGCCTTTGGGTATAACATTGATGTTTCTGGTGTTCGTGGAAACGATTGTAGCTTGCGTAACGGTTCATGGTCTAGACCAAAAGAACTTGACGGAGGTTGATGTAAAAAGAGTGGCACTGACGACTGCCGACGGTCAATTTGATACCACGGTCAAATGATGCAGATTCAGATCTCAACTCAATACATTTCAGTTGTCAGTAGCGCAACAAAATGGAGGGCTTTTATAAATAGCAAGCTTTCTGAACAGGGTTTTGTTGCTGTATGGACTTCCATAGAGCCACATATTCCGCCACAGTAGACTCAGGGGTCACTCTGCATTCACCCAGCCTAGTCGCTTAAGGCAAGTATTTGCACAAACACCGCCACGTCATTCAATGATCCTCATCATGCTCTTGAGTACTCCCAGCTGTGTCTTTTCTCACGGACACCACGTGCAGTCTCAGTTCTCGACCTGACTTCGTTGTTCCAAGACCTGGTCCATCATCTGATGGCTCTAACAATATGGAGCGGCTTGTGGTATGAGAGCCGGAGCTACAGTTGCAGTCGATGTGACCTTGCAGATCCCGCTTACTAAGTGGAAAAATCGCCGTAAACTCAAGATCATCCCGTACGACGCGTGTCATTTTCCAGGCCACCTTCCGTTTGAAGCTATCAATAGCCACGGAGTTTTG